TCTTGTTCGTTCTGATTTATATCCAAAAGATCGGCAAAACTATGCATCGTGTGTCAAAATTTCATCACCAACAATTTTAAAATTATTAAAGCGAAGTCCTGATACTAAATCTCTGTATGTTTATTTAAAATTATTAAATTATCTTATTATAGCATATGTTGATAAAACAACAACAATCCTTGACCGCTTAAAATATTCGTGGATTTGTATCTTCGTATGCCGATTATGGTGGGCTTGGTTAACATTGTACTGCAATACCACTAATAAACGAACAATAGAAAAACACTTTATCACCAATGCAGCGCAATATTCTATTGAGATTAATGGTCATAACTTATTATACATAATTATGTTAGTATTAGAAAACAAAATACCGAAAGACACAGTAAACACTATTCATTTATTCAGTTCTCAGCCTTGTGAGTCCATTTTTCGAAATACAAGGTCATTGAGTGGAGTATATTCAACAATAGTTAATTTTACAGTTAAGGATTTTCTTAAGCGTGCCCAAAAGTTATCCATATTAAATAAAATTAAATGTTTCGAAACAGCCAACGATAACGCAAATCGTTTATTATTTCCAATTCATCACAAACATTTGAAAGACAATCGAAATTTAAATAATAGCAATCATAATAATATCGACAATGTAACAACAGATGATGTAGAAAAAATTATTTTAAGTGCGTATGAAACAGCAAAAGTATTGATTGATAATTTAAAAATGTGTAAATTATTAAAGGAAAATAAAATTTATACATTAAAACAGTTGTCCACATATATATCGAATAGTTTACGATCATCAAGCAATGTAACTGATAACACAATGATTGATGATGACGTTGACAATGAATCAGATACAAGCAGTAGTAGTGGAAACGAAGACAATGATTATTATGGTGAGGATGATGAAAGTGAAAATATTTCTGAGGGTGAAGATGATGACAAAATACCACTGGATCATTTTGCGCAAGTAAGAAATACAACATTCTCAGGTATGAGAATAGTCGAATCTGTCCCACGCGGTGCCGAAAATTCATACTTTACTATAAAAATCAATAATGCAGATAAATATATACATAAAACCACTGCTTGTTGGTTATTAACACAAAATAACAATCGTTTACCATCTGATCGGTTATCGAGAGTCATAGCAACAAGTAGAAAAGAATAAACAACGTATGTGTTTGACTGTTTTTCACTTTTTATGTATGTGTTTTGTATTTTTTAAATTCAATATAATGGAAGTCACTATTAGTACGCAGTGACAGCGGATAGATCTTTCTTCCCATTGACTACCCAGGTTTGGTCAAAACTACCACAACATATAAATATCATGTCTTCGAAAACTTTCCAAAAACAGCTTCTTACCCACTACCGATGTTCTTTTTCTACTTTTCGTGTTCATAATATCCCGAGAGCTATCGACGTGTTATACAGTAGACTTCGGCTTAACTTTTCTGTTTTGAAAGCTGATTTACGGAAAAAATCGTTGGTTTTGACAAGTTCATGCAAATGTGGAGAGGTAGAGACTGTTCAGCATTACTTTTTTGATTACGTGTTATATCGCGCTCAAAGAAAAACTCTCATAAAAAAAACTCAACGATAACAAATATTCTTACCCTCAGTCTTGACCTCCTTCTATTAAATGTGACGCTTTCGAATGATGATTTTTTGTGTATATATCATGCAGTTATAGAGTATATTTGTACTTCAAAACGTTTTTACGTAGAACAATAGTATGTTTATCTTTCTCTTTTCCTTGTCTTTCCTCTCTCTCTCGCTTTCTGGTCTCAAAACAGACCTGGATTATTAGTTACATTTTTTCATTTTTTTTTATTCTCTCTTTGTATCTTCATACAACCATGTGCGAACATATATATATTACTAAACGTGTGTGAACATTCTTTTCTCCATCTGCTATCTTGTTTTCTTCTTTCTTCTTTTACTAGATCTTTCTATTGTTATTACAATATGCATAGCTCTTGTTTTCTCTATCGCCGATAATAATGGGGCTTGTCTCTATTTCGGTGGGTAGAGATAGTATAAATTGCTGATTTCTTTCTTTTTTTTAAAATAAATAGCTTATATCAAATGCGAGAGAAGAGAGTATACCACTTGTCACTCCGTCCACTCCGGAGTGAACCGGAGTGGCGGAGTGAACCGGAGTGATAGTTCACTCCGCGGAGTGGCAGAGTACGGAGTACGGTGTTTCCCCCTTGGTTTTTCCTCTGTCTTTTTGTGCTGTTCTTATATTTATTCTTAACCTAATCCTTTTTCTTCTTGCATTCTTACTAAATAAAGCTTATAACAATCCTAAACAATCGAATTCTTCACGAATGAATGCTCTCTCACGTACTTTCTTAGCTCTTCATTAATATTTATCCACATTCCACTTTTGTCTCTGACCGAATGTCAGATCTATCTACTTCCAAGCTCAAAGTGCGAATTGTTTATCTTTATCTTTTAGACTGACATACCGCATGCATTTTAGTTATGCTCTTGATGTTGTATTTAATAATATTCTGTAAAAATACAGTGAGAAATAAGCATGATTAATCGATGTCAGAATTATTACCCTTGTTTTCGTTCGCCATAAACGTTAATTGGAATGCATGTAGATGTCTTCGTACTCATCTTGTATAATATTAATCGAAAGCTTTTCTTTATGTTAGTAGACATAAAACCATTCTTGCTAGACATTAACCGTGTTTTCATTGGAAATACGGTAGAAGATGATGGATCTGAAGAAAGATTTGGATTGATACTAGATTTTAATTATTTTTCCTTTCAGATACAAACGGATAATTTGAACGCGTCTCGATACAAATACAACGATAACTGATACTTATGTCGAAAGATCGTTTTATAAACAATACTCTTTCGGATCTTCAAGAAGATAATCTCAACCCAATATTCGGTTACCAAGATTCACCCATTGTGACTTTAGACAAAGCTGTAGAAAAACTAATTCCACTCATTCCCGATGTCATGACTTATGTTACGACAGCTAAAACGAAATGCAATCGACATTCAGACTTGTTAACACGGGATGAATCGGCGGCAATATGTCTTTACTCAATGCCATTACCTTTTTTTTCCTGTCTCAACAACACACTTCGAGCTGAAGATCGACATACACTTAAGCCATGATTTGCCTACTTAAAACTGTTTATGACAGCTCTCAACAAATTACCATCAAATAAGACAGTTGTTGGGCGAGGTGTTCACGGTGATGTTAGTTCAGAATTCGCTACTGCTAAGACGAACACTTGATGGAGTATAAACTCATGTTCGATGGAACCCAGAATTGTTCAACCATTTCTAGGCGAAAATGGCACTTTGTTCGCTATTGAAGCAATGCATGGCAAAGATATCTCCCTGTTTTCGGTAATTCCAGAAGAGCAAGAAGTTATTCTAATGCCTGGAGCTCGTGTGCGATCCAAATCTAGATCACTCAATTTCATGGATCGTCTCATCGTTGTTCACTTGCAAGAAATAACTCGTGAAAGGTTAGTCCATCGAAAAGATAAATAAAATCTATCATATTCATGCGCCAATGAGAATGTGTATAATGCGATCATCCTACAAAAATTCTTTATTCTATAAGTATCACAATCTACAATGCGGTTCACACTGTCTCATCCTTTAGTTTTGTCCTATATAAAATTTAATACTGAAACTTAAATACTGATAAGATGTACATCTCATAGAAAAATAAATAAAGTCTGCTGATAACGTGTGCAAAAGTTTGGAGATACATCGCTTTCGAGAAGTGTCTTTTTCGAATTATCGATATTGGTTTACTTTTCGGGCTACTTCATCATACCTGTGAATAGATTTAATCATTTCTACCGCTGATTAATTGTTAAAATAGGTTCATAATTCTTGTTTTAACTCATATTACAAGTCAAACTAAATAGTATAAATTTTTAAATCAAAATATGATTTCAAACTACTCGAAAGAAAATCTACAAACTATTGCAGACAGTTTGAGAACAATATATCTGTTTCTCGTTGACAAAACTGGGCAAAGTTCAAGGTTCATCCGAAAAACTTTATGGAAGTGCAACTAAATAAATCTCATCTTAGGCACGGAGATATTAGTTCCTCTTTTATAAATCCCTTGCGTTAGTAAATTATGACATTATGTAGAATTGGAGAATATGGATCCTAGGATTCAAAGATTCTAGGATCCTAGAATTAGAGCATGACAAGGAAGAATACTTTTTGGTGATCCTTCATGTATCCCTGAGGACAGAGCGTTTTTCTGATAGATGATCATAAGTATCCTGTAACTCTTACCGGTCTCTTTTGTATTGTGTGCTCTTAGTGATTTAAAGCGACAGCTAACGTCTGCGAAAAGGATTGTGGTTTGTTTTTTGGGTCGTTAGTAAGACATTTTATCTTAATTCCGTCGAGATTTCCGCTCCGATACTTCTGTATTACTGTTAATATGATTAGTCGTCTCGAGGTTGGACAGTCCGTAATATACTTCCCGCTATTTAATCCAACACAGCTATCTTTGTTTAAAGAAGCGCTAGCCCTTCCGTATGCTGATGCTGTTAGACTTTTGAAGAATACTGAATATGGAGTACATGAAAAGAAAAGTTCGGAGATAATGAGTGTTATTCTATATGAAACAATAGTGCGTAATATAACGCGTCTATTTAATGCTCTACAATACCCTTGTCGCTCAGTAACACTGAGACCCTTCCAATTTAGATTAAAGAGCAGAAGAAATATTTGGCAATTGGAGCAACTGTTTTAAGTTTTACATGCTTCATTTTATCAAAAGATGTTATGCTCGGTGGTTGCCAACTCTCCTGTGATCAGAGAACTTGTTAACAACTCCATTGGTAGTAAAGTTTGTACTTGTTCTTTACATTTTGTTTATTTTTGGTGATGAACGTGGTCAAGCGGTCAAGTTATGATGGCTATAAGTAAATTGTTACACTATTTTGAGGAGTCCATGAGCCTTCTAGAGTCCCACTCACTTGCTAACTGTGCAACGGTTTTCTTCGTTTTATTATTTTTAAGCTGCTTCATGGCGAAAACACAGAACTCACTCATCGAGTTTGGCCATCTATTTATGCAAAATATCGATAGAGCTGCAGCGAGTTCGTTTGATTTATCAAAAGTTTTGTCGAACAACGATTTAGCAGTATTTAAACACTATGAGCATTCATAAGGAGGAACGTATGAAACATTATTTTTTTGTCTAGGTATCTAATTTGTCATAAATTCATCCTCAACCATTTACTGCCAAGGTACTGTGCTATTTTGAGAGGCGGAGACGTTCAAATAAGCGGATTCGGAACATTTATGAATTTATGCTAGCACCTTCCTACATTTCGTTCGGTACTCTTTTCGTTCTTTTTCTTTTTCTTCCTATATTCTTTGTGAACCTAAAAATGAACTTGAGAACTGATTAATACTTGCTAAGCACAGCATCGACCAGAGAAGTCTATTCTGCAGGAACGACCAGAAAAAACCGAGACCTAAGATTCTCTTATCCCATAATCCTCAAAGAAACATTTCTTCTGCTTTTTAATCTAAATTGAAGGGGTCTCAGTGTTACTGAGCGACAAGGGTATTGTAGAACATTAAATAGACGCGTTATATTACGCACTATTGTTTGATATAGAATAACACTCATTATCTCCGAACTTTTTTTTTCATGTACTCCATATTCAGTATTCTTCAAAAGTCTAACAGCATCAGCATGGTTAAGATAAGCTAGAGGAGAAAGTTGCTAGAAGAGAATCAGCTGTATTTTGTCGTCCATCATTAACTTCTGACCTCTTTGAAATTTGAAATAAAGTTATGAATTAAAGGCTGATTTGAGTAAGTATCATTTAACCTTAGTTTAGGAATTACTGTGCTGAAATTCGTTCTTGAAACTGAGAGATGTCGCTTGTTGGTGGCAGTAACTGATGTGCTCCGCATTTTAGAGACATAGCATAAGATTAACTTGTTGGTGTTTCAGCCTGAACACTTGGAAACGGCAGGCTTTTCCTAGCACTATATTCTCGTATTCTTGAGGTTTGTTACGTTTTACAACTTCTAAAAATTCTAGTCAACATACCGATTTATTTCTTGTTGTTCCTCTTTCAACTTCTTCATTTTGTTGTGTTATTCTATTCGCGTTTTTGCTTTCTTCCAATAGAAGATTAAATGACGGATTAACACGTTTCAAATTCATAATTTTAGTTGCTAATAATTCAAATGTGGTGGATGGAAATGATGTCGAAAAATAATTAATGAATACAATGCATATTAACCGCTAGTTTTCTAACATTTCATTCCATATTGAGGTATTTACAAGCAAAGATAAACACCACACAGCAGTCTCACGTAATTCAGCAATAACTAATTTATTCACCAGTTTTTTTCGAAAATCCATCATGATGTGTGATAAACAGGCATGCAACTTCGTTTTAAGTTTATCTTCTGGTGATGTATGTCCATTAATAATTTTAAATGTACGCTGTAGATAGCCCTCATAAGATTCATTATTAAACTGATGTAATGATGCACGGAGAAGCACGAAAGAACGATCACTTACAATTGTATTGGGAACTGGGAATGGTTTCTTTTGTGGGAACACTTGTTTCCACGCATATTTAAATTGGTACGTTGATCGTCAGCTCATAATAAAGGCGTTGTTTATTATTATTATTACTATCATTCTTAACAACGGAACCAGTCGCGTCCCATGTAACCACAGCACCAGGACGATTTACAAATGACATGTATATTCGAATGGAAGCTTCTGTATACTTACAAACAGTAGAAAATTAATAGGTTTTCTTTTTCTCAGTTAATAAAAAACCCGATGATCACTCTCGACTTCTGATAATAGGAGCAAGTTTTTCTATTCAACCTTTTTCTTTGAAAGGAGCAGATGAGATCAACTTTCTTTTATTTACCCCTTCGTCAAGCGTTAAGCAAGACTTCTTCAGCGCTAAAGTTCAAAAATCATTTAAATTTTATTTTACTTACACAATGACAATTAATGATGGGGTGGTTGAAACAAACTGAATGGCACCGGGAAGAACTTTTACTTCAGATAATTTTTCAAACCATTTCTGATATATTGTATTAATTGCTTCATTTTCGTTCTTTGAATTGTACAACCGAGATTTAAATTCTGATTGAATTGTTTTGAGTGTTCTAATAGACGTTCCAAAATTATCGCAGTTAAATGATCTTTTTTCTTCTTGTGTTCTTCGTTTTCTTTTTTCAAAATATATTTGACGCGGTTTAACACCTTTGGCGATTAATTCTTTTATTTCTTGTCGTTCAGAACCACGAATTGGTCTTGCTGATTTATATGCATAATGAGTAATAATATGTGATGATGTTCCTTTGGTCGTATAAATGTATATAAATCCATTTGGTTTAACTATCAGTTTAGAATAGAATGCACATTCCTTTCGTTTACAATAGATATTACATGCGAGGATAAATGATGTTGACATGTTTGAATTGGATATACGCCCAAACTGTTTTTTTTTCAAAACATGTTGAACAATATTCATTGTACTCTTTGATATAAGATATTAGAATAGATATCCATTTATAGTCATTAATCCGTTTAGATTTCGTTTGTTTTCCATTGTCATTGGGTATACCAATATCACCGACTATATTATCCATTTTTCTATTTTAATACGATCTTCTTTGTCCGTTCAGTCGCTGAAAATCTTGATATTTCATTCGTGTGTTGTAAGTTTTTGGTAGAATTTGCTTGAATTCCTTAGTCATCAATGCTTTTGTAGTGACTTCTACCATTTTTAAATATTCTTCCTCCTTCTCACCTAAGAAGAAAAAAGAAAACAAATTAAATCGGTTCTACCATCATATCTGACAGAATGGAATAAGTGAAATATAGAACTCGTGTCTCAGAAGTTGAACAAAAAAAGGCTTACAGTTAATACAAGAAAAATTTTTAAAGTTAAAAGTTGAATTTAAAAAATGTGCTTTAAGTTTTCACTTTTAAAAAGACGAGGAGATAGATAACCTATTTCTATTCTTTATTTTTCTGAAGTATAAAGAAAAGTCTGCAGCAAAACTTTAACTTATTTTCATAAAATTCTACATCTTTATATTTTCTCGTGAAAGATACTTTATTTCTCCTTTTTCTAAAAATTGACTTTATTTTCAGTTAATATTCTCACGTTCTTTTTCCATGTAAACAAAGGATGTGCTTCAATCTTTTGAGAGAGAAATATAATTGAGATTTAGTTTATTGATTTTTTGCGATATACATATGGTACCCATATGTTAAAAAGATTATCAGGTATCTACTTTTACCCGATACAAGTTTATACATAGGGTACCCCGCATGTTAAAAATAATATCAGGTAAATATCTTTAATTGATACAAGTTTATAGAATTATTTTAATATCGTTTTGATCTATTATTGTTTTTAGTGCTATTTAATTTTATTATAATAGGTTATCATTATTGTGTTTAGAATAAATTATGGGAGATGAATGTTATACTTAATATAAATATTTTATAATTATAATTTAATTATACAGCAATCATATTCAAAGTATCATATTCGGGGTCAGCGTCCAAAACCAAGGCGATTGATGTACCTTTTTAACCTATCCGACCACTTTTGTTTTTTACGAATTTTCACATCGAAAAATTACTGAGATTTCCATCAAAAAATGAAAATCGACAAAAGCTTTCAAAACAGATACCATTCGACTTGGTTTTGGACGCTGACTCCGAATATGACACTTTTATTGCATAAAAAGTGAGTTCTATGGGGAAAATTGAGAATTACGGGCAGAATTCCGAGTTTTTCGCTGATGATTTAGAAAAAGTGAAATTTCTCAGCAATGGAGACAAACTTCAAAACTGTGGAGTTATACTTTTGTTGTATGAATCAAGACGGCTCGAATGCTGTGTGAAACAAGGCTTTATCTCTTAAGACAAGAGACCTGATGCTTTTTTGAGCGGAGGGTCACGTTTTTGAGTTTCCTTGGAAACAAAATTTTTCCAACAGGCTTGGCAATATGCGAAAACTTCAAAACCACATTTTCATATGCAGTTCGCAATGTTGATTCAGACAAAAAAATATTTCAAAGCCCGAAATGCAATGAGAAAAAACGATCGTCGTTTTTCTCGAAGGGCGAGTTTTCTCAATTTTAGCATACTTCCTGTATTTTTCGTTTTTCACCACGAAGGAAAGGCCTGGGAAGGTTTTAAAAGTGATTTTCGGATTCAGCTCGCTCGCCTCTATCCAATCATGTGTAAATATTGAGAAAATAAAGTAGTATCAGAATTATGAAAGCGGCGCCTTATGATTTTTTATTTTGTTAACAGTTTAATTTATGTCAATTGTCTGTATTTTTACAATTTTATTTTTAAATATTTATATTATTAAATTTTTTAATTTGTTTTTGTATATTATTTTAAAAAAAATTAGGCTTTTTGGTTTTACTGTTTATTAAAGACATAGTTCAATATTTATTAGGTAATCTCTGCTCAATCAATTAAATAGCTGCAGTAATCTGACTGTACTAAGGTAACATAATCATTAGTTTTTTAATAAGAAACTGGAATGAATGAATAAAAGGACCATTAAAGTTTTTCAAATGTTATTTAAGTTTTGTTAAATATGATAATACATTTAATTTAATATTAGACGATAAGACCCTATAAATTTTGAATTTTTCTTTTAATTGGGGTAATTTTATTTATTTAATAATTATTATTTTTATAATTACTTTATGGTTAACAGGATAATGGAATTATTAAAATCATATTAGTATTTTCGTTTATTTTCTGGATGTTGGATCATTAATAATTATTAAGTAGATTTTTTTATTGTTAGTCTGTTAGACTATATAATTTTACGTGATCTGAGTTTAGACCGGTGTGAACTAGGTTAGATTTTATCTTTTTATTTTAATATGCAGTATAAAAGGAAATATATTATTTTTATGGTAATGTTTAGTGAATTTAGAGTTCACTGTTAGTTATTAATAATTGTTTGAATCTATATGCCTGTTTATTAATTTTTCTTATATGATAAGTTCTTTAAGGCTAGTTTATATTGTTTTGTTTTTGGTAGTTTTTTTGCCAAGCAATTTTATTTTTAAAATATCTTTTAGTTATAGTTTATAACTTTGAAAAAACAGGATAGAAGTGTGAGAACAAAATACCTAAACTAGTATTCTCTAAACTCTATTAATGAATATATTCGTTTCGAAAAAGCGGGAATAAATAGCTTACTCATGTCAACTGAAAAAATATGTTTTACACATACAGAAAACTTGGTGTCTTATAAGACGCTTAAAATTGAAAAAGACGTGCCTGTTTCGTGATCTGATAGAAATTGATCATTGTCATTGAGTGGTTCATCGTTCAATGTTACTACATTCAACTGATTCTCTTTTTTTTCGTTTTTCTTCTGAGCTTTCACACAAGATTTCTCCTTGTCTAAATAGAAAAATAGCTGCACACTTAAACTATGAGATTTTATTACGCATTACCTTTATTCTCTTGATCAAATGTTAAACCTAGACCAGCTCTCATTGTATCAATTTGATTAAAATCAGCAGAAACACTATTCGGTTCTCCTTTGGGTTGTTGAACATCATTTTTCTGCCGTAAACAGCCGACGTCTAAAAAAAAATTAGGCTTATAACATACAGTAAATCAACAACTACGCAGAATCACCTTGGCGTAGTTTTTGAATTGATTGCTTTTAATATTTTGTGAATGTTGAATTAACAGCGGTGCGTCGTTAAATCCATGATCTTGAAAAAAAACAGAAAATTCTGTTGTTCCTCATATTCACAAGAATGCTTACCTGATAATGTAGTACTATAATATAATTCATCTATATCAATATTATTTTCAGATTTTCCCAGTAAATTTTCTTCACTTCCAATTGCTGTGGCACCTGTAGAATCACGGTATGTAGAAGACAAATTTTTTGGTTCATTATTAAATGTTGAATGAGTTTCTGTGTTCAATTCTGTACATGTAGTGGCATGTCTAACATAACCCAATATATATGCATTTTCATTTTCTTTCAAAACATCATCAATGTCAATGTTCGTTACTTGGTGATCATCAATTTTTTTCCAGTTGTTGTTATCCGATAACACGCAAATAACATAATGACCATTTCGCACACCTGATCCATAATGAAGAATTACAGCATACAGTAAATAATCAGATAATGAACTCAATCGGTCACTGCCCAAATATCTATTCAAATTTAATTTTGGTTCAAATTTAATTGGTATTGTTAATTTCTCGTTTTGGCTGTTAAATTGTTTTAGTTGAATGAAAATGACTAGCGATATTTCAAATATACGAATTGTTTTAAATTTTCCATCGTTTTTACAGTCCACACAAGTTGATGTTTCCACACATTCCGTTCCAAAAAAACCATTTAAACACTCGGTAAGAGTTTGATAGGGCATCAACATACCAGTTAATTTATCTGTTGTTGCAATTGGATATGTTATTTGTAAAGGTAGAATTAGTTGAGGTGTAGGTGGAGATACGTAGGATGAATTACAACTAAGACAACAAATTGTCAAATAAATAAAATTTGCTTGTTTGACTTAATGCTAAAATTCATCCGTGAGATAGTGACTATTATTGTCATTCTGATCCATTTTGTCTAATAAAATGAGCAAAAACTCAGCTGCATCTTCTTGTTGAAGAGCTTGGAAAACATTGAAACATTTTTTCTTTAACCCTTTGAGTCCCGGCTATACCAATTGGTGTCGATGCTTGTAAAATAAAAACTATATTACGGATTCTTGATCGCGATACCTCGTTTTGAAGATCTCGTTAAGCTCTATCTAGCGAAGTAAATTTTATAGTGATCAGCCATCCGTTACAGGCACGTGGCCTTTCACATGTCACATACGTAACCATCACGTTCACTGTCTTTGTTATCCTTTTTTTCTTCTCGATAGTTCTCACAGACATACATATTGTACATATCATCTCTCTCTTTGTTGTCCGATATTTTTCTCTTTCAAGAAAATGATAACTATTATATTACTATCTCTCTCTTTTACTATCTGTTGGACGTCCGATACTTTCTTCTTTGTACTCGCATATATATATACCGGCGTGTTGCCTTCATAGTTTTTAGTGAGGTTGTACCGTTCACATGTACGTATTACTCCATGTTTTTCATTCTTACAACTTTTAAATAAAAGGAGTACTGCAGCGTGTGATTTTACTCAGAGCAGAGAGTTTTAGACATATACCACCCGACTCTCTGACACCATCTTATTTCTTTTTTATAAGTGCCTAAAAATCCATTTATTTGCATATTTTAATACATTTTGGAATAATTTTTTATTAAATAAATAAATAAACCCAAATTATGGCTGAATTCGAAGAATATATTGCAAACAATCAATCCCAATTAGATTCCGAAGAAGAATTTGATCTCGAAGAGCACGATGAAGACGACAATATAAGCGATGAACTAAACTGGACAACGAGCGAATTTCAACCAATATTGCATGATTTTACAGGGAGACCAAGAGTTTGTATGCATTCAACGAATAGCATGACACCTCTTCAATGTTTTGAGCACTTCTACGATGAACAGCTGATGAATTTAATTGTAAACGAGACAAATACTTACCAGAAACAAAATCCAATTGGAAACCGCGAAAATATGCAACCATGAAAAGATACTAATATCAATGAATTATACAGTTTCTTTGCAATTATAATATTAACTGGAATTTTAGTAAAACGAAAAATATGAGACTATTGGTCAACAAATCCAATTCTGAATACGCCAATCTTTCCAAAAATACTTTCAAGAAATCGATTTTATGATATATTGCGCTGCCTTCATTTTAACGATAATTCAAAACAATCTTCTTCTCGCCTTTTCAAAATTGATCCAGTTGTTAACATTCTTAGACGTCGCTTTCGATTTGTTACATATCCTGAAAAATATTTATGCGTTGACGAAAGTTTGATGTTGTTCAAGGGTCGACTGGCATTTAAACAATATATTCCTTCAAAAAGGAATCGTTTCGGTGTAAAAACGTTTTTAATTGTTGATTGTACCTCAAGAATCGTTTTGGATTTTATAACTTACGCTGGGGCTGATACAGATATTGATATTTTACCCAAGGGGGAAAAAGCGTTTTTGGAATGGTAGACTGGGCTGGAATGGTATGAAATGGACTGGAATGGGCCGGAGTGGACCACACTGATGCTGAGTAAGAATTTCTATTTTTCTGTAGGTATTCTTAAGGTCCTTGCCCGCTGCTTCCTTCAGAGGGCGTTTTTTGACAATTTTTTCGATTTTCCATTTCCGACGGACTTATGTCAAGCGGGGAAAAGTGCATTCCGACACTCCGTGGGGTGCCGTGGGCTTAAGGAAACTTCATTGAACTGAACTGTCCCAGAAATCTCTGCTCCCACAAGCAGAACAAAAAGGTTCTGTCTGTGGGAAAAGAACTCACATAATAGAACACAATTGCTCCGTTATCAGGGAAATATTCCCTACAAAAGAACATGATTGTTCTGTTTTGGGAACACAATTGTTCTCTTTTTAGCAAGGATATTAGATAAGGGATAAATAGAAATATCACTATTTTATTCTAAAAGAAAACAACACACTTCGCCACGCCGGACCATTGTACCGAGTGCCGGAGTTAATTCCAATATTTCCGAAGTCCTCCGCTCAAAAGCCTAGTTTTCCAGAAGTCCATGATGAAACTAAAAATCAAAGCAGATTGCTATCGCCACTGGAATCAGCATGTCTGAAAACCTCCAGGCTCTGAGATTGAGCCTAAAACCTTGATTTTAGTAGACTGTATCCCAATTTTTCTTGTAGTGGAAAGACGCTCATTGAAGCAGCCACTCTTGCACAGATAAATTATGTGCACAAACACATTGTTTCTCAAAATACACACTCGATAGTATATAAGTCTGTCAAAAATCAAAAAATTGTCAAATATGGTTTGGAATGGCCCATTCCGCTTTTCCCCCCTTGATTTTACCTGAATTAGGTGTGTATCGATCGTTATGAAATTATTAGAGCCGTTTCTTGACAAAGGACACTGTCTATTTGTGGATAATTGGTACACAAGTCCGACTTTATTTCAAGCATTACATTAGCGGAAAACAGGCGCATGCGGTACTGTACGAAAAAATCGAAAGAATTATCCAAAGTTTGAAGGTCGGATGAAACAAGGAGAAATTCAAACTTACTGCACGAATAAGTTATTAGCTTTGCGATGGAAAGATCGAAGAGATGTTTATATGTTAACTTCGATAAATGATGCGTCAATGGTAAATTCAGGCAAAAGAAACAGAAGTGAGGGTGATATTGTGCAGAAGCCTTCATGTATTTCGAATTATATGTCGAATGTGGGAGCAGTTGATAAGGTAGACATGCAAATGTCTTTTTCAGAAAGTGTTAGGACTTTTTGGTTTGGTTCGAGAAATTTCTTACTCGCTGAGAGGCCGGTTCAATATCAGCTACTTTTTGGTTTGTAGATTGAAAGAGAACACCTAAAGAAGTGCTACTGCACGAAAGATAAATGTCATTCTTAATTTAGTCAGTTTAACACTCGTCTGATTGAACTCTCGTATATACAAATGATAAACTGTTTCACTCTTTCTTTATACGTTCATTATCCATACTTGTGTGCAACAATGAACGATACTATTCTTTCCCTGTCGTATTCAAACTATGTTTCTTCTTCTGTCCCTACATAGTCAACGAGTTCTCCTTTTCCTGTGTTATCTGCTTCATCGGATGAGAGATACATAACATAAACGATCCCGCTTTGTCTCAAATACAAAAAGAAGGAATCGTCACTTTCATCGATAAAAATTCCAATGCAGCATGCTAGACAGTTTTTGGTCTATCTGCTAAAATAGTGGGTCCAGAAAGATATCAAATCATAAACGACAGACTAGGTGAGTCTCATAGTATTTTCTACTCCTCTCTTATCAAACTTTTACCGAAGCGTCAAGCAGAATACGATACGTGGAATGCAAACTTGCCGTACACATTTTTTTCCAACTTTTTATACAGCGTTAGATAGAGATCATCGAGCTGATTAACGAAATGTATATTTCAAAAATGTTTCAAAAATTTTTTCTATGTCAAAAAATTGAAAATACATGAAGGATGTAAAAACTCGAAAAATCCTTCAAGTTCAAAACGCCTTAAGAGGCTGGATTGGAACACCCGTGCTGGACAGGCTTTTAACTTCAGAATTGATCACACACCATTTTTATATTCAGTTTTTAACGCTGTATTCGAAACAAATTGCTTGAAGACTTCAAACCGATCTGGAGCCGAGATATTAAAGGTTTTTATGAACTTGGAGGATTTTTCAAGTTTTTGCATCCTTCAAGTATTATCAATTTTTTCAGCTAGGCTCAAAACTATGTGTCAAGTCCGAAAATAGGTGAGACGGAGCCTCAATTGGCGGAAATCAGGTGAGGCACGAGCCTCAGTGGGTCCGCCGCCCATGTATCAAATTATTCGAAAAATTTTTCGGTTCGGTTCCGTTTAAAAGTTTCGAAAGCTCGACCGGTTCGGTTTGAAACTTTTTCGGTTCGATTCGGTTCGGTTTCTAAAAAACACGAACCGATCCTACCTCTAATGTGCACACTGATTTAAAAGTTTCACTCCTTTAATTTGTCTTTTGGACCTGCAGGATAACCGCTCTGATTCCAGCCAGCAGTCCGATATGGAAGTTCGTGTGAATAACGATATTTGGATACAATTAGATACTGAATTGATAGGTAAATAATTGTTTACCTTTCACTGTATTATCCTAAGCTGTCCATGTAAACTATTTCCTAATTTCTTATTTTAGGTGAATCGGATGCAGCTGTCGATCTCGATATCTCATTATTTTCCGACACTGCCGTGAACGTCCTACAATATTACAAAAACATCCTTGAAGTTTTACAACAACGTGCGTTTAGAAGAAGCGAATGTGACAAAACTGTTGAAACTGATTGCATCAGCACTACCTGTTCCTCATCAATTAGTGGCAACGTGCGCAAAATTAGTCGAACTGTTTCATGAAAACAAGTTGTCGTTTAAAGGAACCGTTCGCTGTTCGGCTTGTGTTGCCACTATTGTTGAGAATAACAAGTGTACAATAGGATGCCTGCAGAATCAGCACAAACGAGAATCGAACAGCGTAATTGAACACGTCACTTTCTAAGATGATATCTAATTGATTCGCACGATAAAACGTAACAAAGATTTAATCAAAACGTACCCGATGAATGTCGTTCAACTACTGCCAAACGATATTCTAACAAGAAGGGTGCATAAACAAAAATTAGTTGACAACAATTGTTTGGTCCCTAGATGATATCCGGTGACCCTCATGATTCACATCGATGGTGCGCCAATCGTGCGTTGGACAAAAAAACAAATATGGCCCGTGATGGCCTCAGTCTGTGAGACTCCGCCGCCGCTCAGAGAAAGCCGAAACAAATATGATATTATACTCTGGTAAGTAAGCACGTTACTCCTTTTCTTATCCTTATATTCTGTTGCCGAACTTTCTTCATCAGATATTCAACAATCGATCGATTCAGGGTTATTCTAGGTTTTCCTAACTAGGAAGAGCTACAAGTTTATTAAGACAGGAGAAAGTGATTTTTATAAGAAAACTTTGACATAGTATTAAGAATAAACGTCAATTATATTTTCCCACAAACCATCTGCCTTGATCGTTATTTTTTGACTCTCCACTTGACTGTCTTTCGGCCAAATCCCAAATTTGGTCTACTAGTTGTTGACAGCTGTTTTCCGGACCCAGTTTGACGATGACTGAAGATTGTGTGTTACCTTGAGGATCCTCGATACTGACCATCACGCTATACCGATCCATTGGTTAGAGAAATTTGATAAAAGTTTATGTATGTGTGCGTCAAAATGAGTTGTAGAATGAATGTAAGCAAAATTTTTTACATTTCTTCTTGTCTGTCAGTAACATGTGTCAAGTTTGAGCTCCCTCCTTATCAATCACTCTAAATGATTTATAACTAAATCAAACCAGAGATGAAAGACTTTCCATATATTTTTTATATCACATTCTTATTGTTTGAACGAGTAAGAATGTGATATGAAAAATATATGCAAGATTCTTGGGTGGAATTTCTGTCTTGTGACTTCAACCAAGAATCGTAAGACGGATTCTTGGCTACAATAATAAAAATATATGCAAAAGCTTTCATCTCTGGTTTGATTTAGTTATAAATCATTT